ATTGTTAGAAGGTAGAGTTCCCACCTGGTTTTGGCACACTGAGCACGTTCAGCCTGGATATTTGTCAGGGCTCTTTTCCTTCCGGCAGTTTTCATTTATTGGCTGCGAGTTAGGGCTTCCCCTTGCAGGACCTCTCTGGGTTCCTGCCTCCAGTTCCCTCCTGCTTTAGACTGACTGTCAACCTTGCATTTTCCTGGCTCGGAGGTAGTGAAGTCCACTGGATCAGGAGAGAGCCAGCAAAACAGCTCAGCCGTGATGTGCAGGGTCCTAGAACCTGACCATAGGTTAGGTGTGCCATGCAGGCAAAAAAATGTCCTCGGCACGTGCATACATTCATGCCCTGGCTGTCAGCGTGAGCTCCAGTCTGAAAGCAGGGAGCGGATTCAGGGTACCGTGAATTTGCTTGATGACTCTGGCTGGCTGGTCGAGAGGTGGCTGTGTTTCAAAGGACACTGTCTCTTGTATTGGCTTTTTTTATTTCCGACACTGAAGTCACCAGGGTTGTGCGAGGTTAATCCCTTGTTTTTAAGGTCCTCTAGGAAAAAGTTGATGCCAAAATGGGGATAGGACAGTTTCTGGTGTTTATTGCCTGGGAATAGAAGGTAAAACAAGTCCTGCTTCCTGACTACCCAGTTCTTCCCTTGAAGTGCTCGTGTGCTCAGATTCCCATAGACCACACGTTGTTGCACTACTTCTCCGACTTTTAACGAGACTCTTTCGTACTTTGCAGTGGAATTGCATAAATCACAACAAAGTTAGAGGCAGAGCCATGTCTTCAGTGCAGGCTCTGGGTGCCCATTGAGCAGGGTTGCACATAGGTCCAAAAGAAGGATTTAGCCCATAGCCTTGCTTCAGGTGTCCAGTAGAAGTGATTTTTGTAAGATTAGTTCTGTAATTCAGGGTTAATTATCTCCAACAAGAATTTAAAGTAAAAGCATATGTTTCAGGGTCAAATGTTTAAGTCCTCTCTCCCCGTTTTTTGTTTGTTTTTTTTTTTTTTTTTTTTTCAAATCCCAGGGCAAGTTTTTGACTTAATTCTGGGGACAGTTTTACCTGGATGAAAACTGAGTAAAGATGGCAGGACTTGGCTTGTTATCATGGGGGAAGCAGGGATAGAGGTTTATAATTGAAAATAACATGTAAAAAGCTTGTTTTGAATTTCTCAATGGAATATAAGGGACCCGAGGGGGGTTCTGCATCCCCTCAGATACGGTACTTGATATTTATGCTTTCATTGCACCTTGACAAACATTTCACGTAGTTATTGCTTTGCTTGAATATGGAAATATGTTAATTACGGCCTTTATTCCACTGCCTGCTCTTTTCCTCAGCCTTTTCTATTCAACCCTCTAGGTGGCCCAGCACAATGTGGCTTCTTTTCTTTCAATGAGCTCTTTCCACACTAATAGGGTCCAGGGTGATGTGGAGAACCATGTGCACAAAATTGGTGCACCACCCCCCATCCCTTTGTGGGTATGTCAGGTTAAATTCATATCAGCAGGAGGGTCACTGCCATGATTTTCAATAGCGCGAGATGAGGTGATGACTTCAGACAATGGCGCCACACTCTCCAGTTGGAGACACTTGCCTCACCAGTTGCAGTAGTTAATTAATATGCTAAAAATAGAAGCCAGTGATACAAATCGCTGCCTGTTGTACAACAAAGACTGGGCATGTGTAGCTTTGATAGCCAAGTTTATGGTGCTTGTTATGGAGGGAAGTTAGTTTAGAGCTAGAGGCAATGTAAGACTTTCTGGATGCTGAGCTTTAGTCACTCTGGGCCTCTGGCCATTCGCTCGCTGTCTCATTTGCATTATGAATGACATTAAGGGAACTAACAAGGTTATTGGGCATAGAAATGTTCTCATGTGACCCCACGTGGAAGCAGACCTACAGCAGTGCTAGTTGGCAGGGGCACTGTGGCTCTTTATTCAGCTTCCTAGGAAGACAGTTTCTGGGAGTAGATATAAAATCAACCACGAGAAAACTGGCATTTGGATAATGTGAAGGTCCTGATGCAAGCCCCTATGAGGCAAGGAAGTTCAGAGGGCAGGCTGGAGCTGTGTCCTTCACTCAGCCTGCCATGCCTGGCCAGTGCTGAGCGTTGAGTGCAAGACATGGGAGTTCCCCATTGCTTGGGTCTCCCCACCAGCTGCCTGGCTCTGGGTGAAGCTGCTCTGTGGGGGCTCAGTGACCACGCATGAGGGTGTGGGTCCATCTGGGCCTCCAAGTGGGTCTGTGTCTCCCTGCTGCTGGCTCAAATGATGGGTGGGAGGGGGTGGGTTTTTGTTCTCACCCCCTGCATCTTAGCTTCCATAGGGACTGTCCAAATAACCAGAAGAGTTTGAGAGGTTTCTCATCATCTTTTTATTATCTTCCCCAAAACTCAAGACAAGGGGGGGTAAAAAATTATGGAAAGTGCGTTGCCACCTGTAGTTCCCATGTGTAACTAGGAGACGGTTTGGTAAGTCCAAAGATGTAAATGCAGGAGTCACATCCCAACTTAGGGCCACGTTGACCAAGTGCAGCCGCATTCATGCCAATGCAAGCACACGGGATTCACAAACCCAAGCAAATGCAGAAACAGAGCAGAAACAGACCTGTGGAGATGTAGTGATGTAGTGTGCTTTAAGTTATCCCTTTTCTAAAGAAATTAGTGTGATTGCTGATGAATCACTCTGTGTAGATGACGGCAGATTTGGGGGATGCTGGGTCTCTTCCATAAATGTTTGAATGTTCTTAAGTTTTATAGACATTTGTTATTTGCTTCATGGACCAGGAGCACACTCTGGACAGTCACACAAGCACATAAACATTCATGATCTTTATAAAAACCTCTCGTTTCTGGAGTCCTTTAACCATTCCTGGTGTTCATATTGGACTTTGTAAACTGGTTGTCCATTGGACTTTGTAAACTGGTGGCCCAGCAATCACATTTCTTCTGTGGAGCCACTAGCTACCAGATCAACCCACAGGAACGAGCTACTGCAACAGTCACACAGAGCTGGGTCCCGGGGCCCCCCGTCAGTAGCAGTGAGTAAGGAGACTGACAAAATGGCATAAAAGGAGGGCCATTTTGAGGGCTTAAAATTGCACTGTATTTATGGCCTGCTCTGAAGGTCTGGCCCAATGATAAGTGCAAGCACAGGCTGAGGCGCTGGGGATAGGGCAGGCTCTGGGGGGAGTGCATGTGCTGTGTGTCAGGTAGCCTTGTCTGTTTGCCCTGGTCATCCATTTAGAGGCTGGATGGGGCTAGCCCTTGCATGTGTTGTGTATAAATCCGCATGAGGTAAATGTGAAAGTGATTTTAATCATGGAAATGCAATTCACTGACGTGTGCTGAGATCAGCATCCTCAGGGCTGTCCCCCGCACTGATAAGTAGGAGTGAAGGCTCTTCTGTTGACTCACTCTTTAGTGGGAGCAATATAACTTAATTTCCAAGATCATCAGCTTTCCTATGTACAGTGCGGTCTTCCTATTACAATAGTGCACAATTATTATTTTTATAATAATGGCAGTCCGTATTCATTGCTCCTGTCGGTGGGAATTTGCTCCTTCAGAAGTGTTTGTCAGAGTGTGATGTCTGCTGAGCTCTCCTCGTAGGAAGGCCAGTGGGTTTCAGCAGCGTGCAATGGTGGGCTTGCAGGTGGTCGTCTCCTGGTGACTTTGTGAGGCAGAAAAATCCACGTCAGAGTTTCAGCTCCTCCTTTTCTCCCCTCTCCCCTTCTAACATCCCCCCTCCAGTCCGTCTGGATGAACCTTACGACTTGAGTCCCAGCCTTACCTGACTGCTTCATTCCTCATGGGTCCCAGGGACATATTCCAGCGTGGAGAAGAACATGCCGTCTCCACAGCTTTTGCACTATCTGCCAGCTGAGAGTCTGGGAGGCTGAGAACAACTCTCCGTGTGTCTAAAACTTGAGTGGTTATGCAGTCGTCAACAGGGTTGCAGAATTTGTGCTAGCTGAACAGAGAGGACTTGGGATCTGCCCTTAACAGAAGGGCAGTTTTCTGTAACAATCTGTTTCTATAAATAGACTGAATATATTGATTGTGGTTTATTTCATATTAAGTATTATTTAGGTTTCCTCTTCCTTCTCCTCCAGTCACCCCAACTGAAAACTGGTAGAGAAGGGTTTGTTAGTGAGTTATTGTTGAACCAAACAACTTGCAAACGAAGCGTCATTTTAGGAAGATAGCAGTAACTAAGAAAATCTCCTGGAAATGGTATTTAGTAAGACATGTTGATAAGCCAGTGCTTATGGAAGTATCATAAACGATAAAATGGCCTTGTAAAGGTAATAGGAACATTTAGTTTTATTTTCATTTCTCTCCTGATCTCCACAGATGTGTGAGGAAGTTTTGAAACATATTCTCAACTTGTTTATTAAGAAATAGTAGTAATGACAAATGTGATCTTTGTTTTTTCTTTGATTACGTAGCTATGGGCTGTAAAGTGTTCTCACCTCCTAATTGCAAAGGTGGTAAAAATGAATCGTTAATTAAAATCTCTTTCCCGGACAGGTCTTTAAATGCTTGAGTTAATTAAGTCTTTAAAAATTGACATGACTAAAAATCTCAGTTTGGTCCTTTGTGATACCGTATTCCAGTTAGTTTTCCGGTTATACAGAGAGCTCTTATGTGACTGAGACCCAAACTTCTGACATAAATTACAGAAAGCCTCGTTCTTCTCTTTCCTTTTCTTTAAAACTAAGGAAAGACTATTAAAAAATGTCCAGGTTTACTTTATGCATCAGTGAGAATAAAAGACGGAACCGCATTTCCATTTTAATTTGCAGATCTGTTACCCCTCCTTTGACTGCTTGTGATGAGCAGTGTGACTAATGAGCTCCGCCGGACCAAAAAGAGTGGCACTTTTCCCTTTCTTCTGCTTCCCCGTTTTTTATTCTTGGGTGTGGTTTTTTTATGTTGCTTGCCTCTGATGTTTTGCAGCTTTTCTGGTCTGGGCTTGGACTAATTCCCAGATCTGTTCTTGCAGATTTTAACTTTGCCATGTACCCACCGTCAATGATAGCAACTGGAAGTGTGGGAGCAGCCATCTGTGGCCTTCAGCTTGATGACGGGGACAGCCTCACGGACCTCCTGGCCAAGATCACAAACACAGATGTGGTGAGTGTCCCACATTCCTCTTCTCCTTTCACTTCTGAGAGCGTGGTGGGAAACTGGGCCATCAAACCTGGCCTGATCCTGAAAGCCCAGTGGAGCGAAGGAGGGGGCTGCTCCTAGAGCGAGCGGGTTGCAGGCCTGGGCCTGGCACCTTGGTTGCAGTGCTTTGGATGTCCAAAGCTCCTTGGCCTCCCGGGATCATTTTTCATTCATGCTTGGTTGGGAGAGCCTGCTCTGCCCATCCTGGCTGATGGTCAGGCTTGCTGTAGGGGGGAGCCACCTTGGGTACCACCCCGGGCGATGGGGCGAGCAGGCAGACAGCATCCTCTGGGGCAGAAGGTAAACTGGTATGTGCGCCGGTCCTGTGTTCACAACCTTGAAACTGCTCGTCTCGCCCTCATTGAGGTGTCATCTCTAAGAATCCTTGACTTAAGGGAAGTGAATACTGAGCTAATCCTCCAGCACTGGCACAATGTGAGACAGGTGCAACCCAGGCTGTCTGGGTTTTTGTCAGTAACTTCACAAAGGACATTTCTTGGCTTGTCAGAAGGTCCTGTCGTCAGTAGGAGAGGTGAATCTGATGGCATTTCAGCGGTGCTCAAACTTCCTCAAAAGTGAGTTTGCTGGTCTGGGGTCAGCTTCTTAGTGGGGACATCAGAAAAACCCAAACATGACAGCTCTGCTTGGCAGTCTCAGCAGAAAGCTGGGAGGACTGAGGAGCACTCAGGGTGCCTTCCCTGAGGGGTGGTGCCTCTCCTGCTGTGCCCCCGTGTTGGTGGGACACTGCGGGGAGAGGTTACGCTCCTGCAAATCCAAACCACTTGGTCTGTGGATAGACAGGAGTTTCATCTCTTGCGAAGCTGAAATGTTTTGCCGTGATGAAATTCACTCAGAAAGAAAATGAGTGAGGTTTTCTGAAATGCAGGCCGCTAATAAGATAATGCTTTTCTTTACTGTAGAAGTATGTTTACAATGCGTCATCCTTAACATGTGCTAAGTATAAAACTTCTGTTGCTTTTATTTCGCAGAGTAAATACATTGTGCAATTATTAGGTCTTTGATAACATTGTCAAGAGAAGGTTTGTTTTTTCCAACAAATATTCTGCCTTTGGTTAAAAAGGAGTAGTCCTGTTTAACAAAAAGGGAAGAATTTAGCTATTTCTTTTTTTCTTTCAGTCAGATTGGGCATAATTTTCAACTGCAGTTCTGGGGCTTTCCATTTCTTTTGATTGCAACTGGCTTGTGCGCAGAGAAAGGAACATTTCCAGTTCTGAATACTTATAATGTAAATCAAGTAGTTGCAGAAATTTAACATACACTCATTTCAGTGTAAATGAAAATCTTACACAGGCAATTGCTCTTTTGTGTCTGTTTTATAAGTATGGAGAAACAGAGTGGTGATGCATTACAGCAAGCAGCAGGCATGTGCAAGAAAAATCCTATATAACAATTCAGACTGCATGGCCTGGTGCAAGTAATGCACAAAGCTCATTTGTACATCTAGACTGGGCAAATCCATTAAGTTTGCTTCATTTATGTGGATAACAAGAATTATCCATTATTGGTACTGATATTGGTTGTTCCTGGCTGAAGGAAATTTTCTCCTTGGATATTTGTCTGATTGGATGTAACACGATAAGTTTTGGATGCTGCATCCAGTGAATGTCCGGGAGGACTCTTAAGACAAGTGGGTAAATGTGAGAGGGACGTTAGAAAACCGGGCAAAGAAAGGCAAAGGTTTAGAGGGAGAGACTAACATCTTGTTAGCAAAGGTGCTGTCTTTAGCCAAGGTTGTGAATATCTACAGAATGAAGAAAGCGGTTGGTGCTAGCCACTGACAGCTTCTTGTATAACTCCATATCTTAACTCCATGGAGTATCTGAAAGGCTTGATGCCCCTCTGCTGTGATTTTCCTTGTTATATGACAATGCCGGGTGAAGTTGTTCCTGCGTGGCTGCTGCTTGTTTTCATGCTTGTTTTTGCTGACGTATGTCCACACAGCTGCTCATATCCTTGTGTTTCAAACCCCATTCTAGAACTAATCAAACTTAAAGAAGCAGGGGGGAAGGACCACTTCTTGTTGTTTCAGCGCTGGGGGGTTAGGGGGCTTGCTTCGTTTGTAAACCGGATCAGTTTACTGATAGATTTCCAAGATCAGCCTCACAAACAGCTGGGAGAGCTGAGTGCAGTGGCACAGGGCAGGACCGTAGGGGGAGATGGGGGTGAGAGGAATTTCTGTAACCATCATTGTCTGTGAGCTTCTTGTACTACAGCTATAGAAATCACAGCCTGACAGAGCAACGGTGATCGGCAGGAGAAGGATAATGATGAGAGTGAGGGAATGACAGCGTGGAGTGAGGAATGGGAACACAAATAGCCCTTATGGTGGTAGGGGAGGGACAGGGAGGCATGCAGAGTGAAGGAGAAGAGAGTGAATGGAAAGTTTAGGGGGAGCCTTCACAAGCTTGGTGCCTGCTTCTGCTGCTGTGAAGCAGAACAGAGCACGTCACTGCCTGCAGAAATCCCTGGGTAGTCCTTTGGAAGTTGTCTTTGAAGGCAGAAGCAAGGGGTGCTCAGACCTAGAAGAGATACCCTCAGCAGAGCTCACCTCTTTGTTCCTGTGCCATGATGCAATCTGCCATCACTAGACCATGTTTCATCTGATTAATGATGCAATCTGCCATCACTAGACCATGTTTCCCATATCGATAAGCTCCAGATAAACTTCTGATGTTGTTTCAACAGTATTTTAGCACTTGTCAGAAGGGAGATGCCCTTGCCTGGTATATTTGTATTTGAGGTGTTTGATGAGTTGCGATCAACCATTGAGTAGCTGGGTTCCATCTTTCTGGAGATGCCAGGGAGTTGTTCAGGGTAGTTCTTCATTTCCTCTAAGAGTTTCCCTGTGCAGTCACAAGGATCTTTTCCCTTCTTGCTCTTTTTCAGCGTGGGCAGGAGGTTTGGGTTACAGTGACAGCATGGTGCTGACAATACTCAGCTCTTAGGTGAGGGCAGGCGAGCTCAACGCATGGGTGACAAAGGCTACATCCTTGGGACCTCGCAAGATACCTAGCTGTGCCTCGATGCCCTGGTCACAGGGAAGAGGATTCCCTCCCTCACCCATCATTTTTACCAGCAAAGAGATTTTGAGCATCCCTTTCTGATGCAGCCCTTGCCTCAGTTGTCTGTTCCTTAGTCACCTTCATGCATGGGCTTATGTTCAGAAGGTCCCGCAAGGCTAGATGCAGCTGCTCGCTTGCATAGCTGCTCCTCATGGGGGGAATTACACCCACGGGTTTTCCTGCTGCACCTCTCCGTGTGTTTCTGGTTGCTGGCTGGGGCCTTGCTGCTTCACCTGTGAAGCCCTGCTTGAATCGGGATCCCAGCTGACTCTTCCCATGCTCAGTGTGCATACTGAGGATGTTTGTGAAGGCTTGTAGGGACAGAAGAAAAGTCACAGCAGGGGGTCTTTCTAGTGGAATTTTCTTTCTCCTTGGTCTGGTAGAGCCCATGTTAATTGACTTTCTGAGCATGTTGTGAGCATATTAGACACAACCATGCTTAAGGGGGAATACGTGGCCTTTTTTTGCTCTCTTGGGAGTTTTTCTGGATTCTCTTAATTGGATATTTATTGATATACACTTAAAGCTCATGTTCTTTATCATAGGAGATACTTGAAGCTTTCTCAGGCATCCCAACGCTTCTTAATGTAAGGCCCTTTTGCAGTATCTTGCAGATTGGACAAACTTTATCTCTCGTATTGAATTTTTCTGTCCTGATTGTTTCAGTCTGAACGAAAACACCTGCCAAAACAGCTTAGTAGTTCTTAAGTGGTTAGAAGAAAAAAATATGTTGTTTTTTGCATTGAAAATTTCTTCACAACTTCTTTTTGAAATTCAGCAGATGGGTTTTTGTCAGAAATGTGCTTTTTGCCATCCTGGTGAAAATCTTCTGAAATTTGGCTGAGCTTTTATGCCTTTGGAAAAAAAAAAATCACTCTTGCCAAATAACAAAGAACTCTTAACATTTTACTGGTCACATCCTCTCCAAGAGTCTGTCGGCACTGGGTAGAGGCAAGCTTTCTTCCCTTTGCTCCTGGTCTCAGCCCACAGCAGCACAGACTGAGGAGAGTCTCACTCGCCCCCCAAGTCAGGGCACACTCAGGACAAAAGGAGCTTCTGGATAATTTAATTGCTGAAGTCTTTAAGTCTTTGCGGAAGTTAGAGGTGCTGTAATTTTTCAAGATGTTTCCGTTGTTGTGGCAGAGGTGGCCTTAACTCTAAGTCTCTCTCCTGCAAGCTTTGAAGTCTTAGCCCAACCAAAGGTGGCCAGAATTTTTAACTTGGGCAAAATGGTGCATTTTTTCCTTAGCCAGATATTTGGAAATGGGAGAAATATTTTGGTAGAAACTTTCTCCGTGACTTTTGCATTGGAAAAATGCAAAAGGGCCCAGGACTGGAAAATTTCATCCCACATGTTAAAGCGTAAGAGAGAGATAAGCGACTGAAAACAGGATCTCGGAGAAGTATCGGGCAATCTTAGTAATAGGTAGTAATACCAGCCTCATCTGTAAAACGTATTGTTGGAAAAAATGTACTGGCTAGATTGTGTAAGAGTTAGCCCAAGGCTGTGTTAATGAAGAGTAAAGACTATTGTAATACATTATACGCTGGGACTTAATTGAAGTTGAATGAACAGCTTCAGTTCTCTCACTTCCTAATTTCTGATGCCTGAGAGCTCTTCCTGGAGTGACACAATTAATTCATCGTCACTGTGTGAATGATTTTGTTTTCAAAGGGGAGAAGAGGAAGAAACAAGAGCTCCTAGGCTTCAGGAGCATCACATGGTGGAAAAGCGAGCGAACTCAGAGAAATTACAGTTCTGCAGAGCAAAAACTTTTTGCCCTCCCCCCGCCCCATGCCTCTTGGTAGCCCTTAGGAAATGGCAGAGAGCTGGGGGGAGAGTTCTTCCTGACCGGAGGGTCCTGGAGCCTTCTGCTTCTT